GGAGAGGGGCCGCAGAAGAAACTAAACCTGCTTTGACCATGGACTTCTAGCTTCCAGAACTGTGCGAAAATAAATTTCTGTTAGTTAAGCTACCCAGTCTATGATATTTTGTTATGACAGCCTTAGCAAACTAATGCAGGGGGCTTTGAAGATTCTGGTAATATTTTGATTTTTCAGCTGAGTGGTAGGTACCCTGATGATCATTAAACTGCAGTTTATACATTTTATATACTCTTTTGGATATGCTTTTCCCAATTTAAAAATAGAATTATAATGACTGTCAAAACATTTCTAGCATATTGATAAGCTTTGAATTGATTTCTTCAGCAAATGCAGTTCTTTAAGCATTCAATAAAAGACAGTTTCATTAGGGCAATCAATATGTCATTTTTAAGAAGAGGAATGCTGTATTTAACCAGCACTAGTCCATCATCTCCAATGGCTGAAAATCAAGAGAAAATGGAGTGAATGCATGCTTTTAAACTAAGAAGTCTAATGCAATTAGTGGTTTTGAGTTAAAATAGCTCTCTGTTCTCCATCTCCATTGATTTCTTCTGTGCCATTCAGATCTCAACTAAAATATACAGATAAAGCTCTGCCTTCCTGGGGGAAAATCTATTCATTTGAAATATGTTGACATTACAGCGTTATAACAGCTCCCGTAGGGACTTTATGTGGAATTAGTACAAATGTTAATGTTTAAACTAGCTGATTTTTTTCAGGGGGATAAAAAGGTGCTGCAAGTATTTTATTTTTACTCACAAGTATTAATTGTCAGGATTTATCTTTAAAACAGTGATATGTATGTCAATATCTTAGGCAAACACAATTTGGAATTCAAGTAACTATGTTATTCACACACACATGCAAACAGACATATTCACACATACACTGGATACATCTCGACAGAACAGAGATGTGTTTTTGTTCTAATGTTTTATTGTGAGTGTAATTAATAGTGTTGTCTTACTAAGATATAATGAATGGGTGAAAAATGCAGACCCTAAAGAGAACATTCTGTATGTGTTTGTAATTTAATCCAAGTGTCAGAAAGTTTAAGTAAATTTGGTTAAAAGTCCTTGTGACAGCGTCAAAAGCAAATCTAGGGCTGAGAAACACTTTCGTACGCTATAAATCTAAAGAAATGATGTGCATTTAATGTTATATGGGAGAGGAATAGTGATATTGAATTTAAAAGTTCAGCAAATACTCAGAAATCCATACAATTCTTATAAACACCAAGCAGGAGCAAAATACACCAAGGTAAGAAGCATGGTTTTCACTAGATCTCTAGATGTTTGTGTAGTCATTTGCTAGAATGAATCCATAATAAACAAAGTCTATTTAAGCCCAGAAAGTATGCTGAAGCATTTCATGTATATGGAATTTACCAGTTTAACTCTCAAGCTTAAGTAACTACTTAAAAAATAAGACAACCCATTGATGAAAATTGAGAAGAGCTTTCTTAAAGCACATTAAAAAAAAATCAACTTTGGTTTGCACCTAATTTTATCTCCTGAAGGCACCAGTATTTAAAACAGTCTAATATGTGGGCAGCTATTGGATGGTGCATATTTTAGGTCTTTATTGATGACTCAGGAATGTCCAATGAAGTTGGAAATGTCTGTGAACTTGCTGTGAAAATGGGAATGTTCCACGTCTAGTTTGTCCAGTAGTGGAGGCCACTAATCACATGTTGCCTCTTTTTTTTGAAGTATAGTTGATTTACAATGTTGTGTTAATTCCTGGTATACAGCGTAGTGATTCAGTTCTATACACATGTAGAATATATAGGAATATATATATATATATATTCCTTTTCATATTCTTTTTTATTATCAGCTGTTACAAGGTATTGAATATAGTTCCCTGTGCTGTACAGTAGGACCTTGCTGTTTATCTATTCTATATATACTAATTAGTACCTGCAAATCCCGAACTCCCAATTTATCCCTCATCCTTATTCCCCCCTGGTAACCACAAGTTTGTTTTCTATGTCTGTGAGTCTGTTTCTGCTTTGATTTTTTTTTAAATAAAGATTAAAAAAATTTCAGTTCTCTTAGAAATGCCTGCTGGACATGTGAAACCTCCATCTGAAACATACTAGCCTGGGTGAGGGGAGCTGAACATGACTGCCAGTTCCGGAATCGTGGAGGATGCCCAGGAGGAGGGGAGGTATGGGAGGGGCTTCGTAGAATAGCTTTGGGGTGGCAAATCGATTTTGACTTGGGTAAGGATTCTGAATCACTGACTTGGGCTCAGCAAGAGAGAGAGAGTGGCATGTTCGAACCACCCTGGTTTAGGTCAGGGAGAACCTGGGGTAGGGGTGAGGGTTAAGGAACTCTGCCACGTGAATATGTTCCCAGGCCAAGGCAAGAAACTGGGAATTTCTGGCCCAGAACAGAGAATATAGATGCCTACCCACCATTAACAGACAGGCACACCCAGACTAGGGTTTCCTGGGATGTAGGGGAGGGGGAGGACGGTGTCTGTCTAGCCAGAGGGAGAAGAGGCTGGTAGAACAACTGGCCCTATTTATTGATTGATTCTTTCACTCACCAAATATTAACTGATCTTCTATTATTTGTCTGACACTTTCATGGGCATAATAAACAAGTTGACCTACAGGTCAATGTACTGAATTATAATGAGTATGAAGGAAGTCTTCCCTACAAGGAGGGAAAGGACAGGGGACTGGGAGAAAGAATGCCTGGAGAGAGGTGGATGTCATTAGCCTGGGGAGAGAGGAAAGGCTTCTTTGAATTATCGGTATTTAAGCTGATACCGAGTACAAGAGTGGGGAGAATGCATTCCAGGTAGAGGGAGCAGCCTGTGCAAAGACTCAGAGCTGCAAAAGGGGCTTGGCGTGTGGCTAGAGCTGGGTGAGCAATGCATGTGGGTGTGGAGGGATAAGAGGGTCAGGTCAGACGGGCACTGGAGGCCACGTTCAAGAGTTGACATTTTATCATCAGTGCAGTGGGACGACACTCAGGCTTGACACAAGCAGGGGTTAAGTGGATGAGGTTTTTTTTTTTTTAATTGAAATATAGTTGACTTACAATGTTGTGTTAGTTTCTGGTGTACAGCATAGTGATTCAGTTATACATATCTCTGTATATTCTTGTTCAATTTTTTTCATTATAGGTTATTACAAGATATTGAATATGTTCCCTGAACCACAAAGACCTTTTGGTTTATCTATTTTATATATAGCAGTGTGTATCTATTAATCCCAAACTCCTAATTTATCTCTCCTTTCTACCCCACTTTCCGTTTGGTAACCATAAGTTCATTTTCTGTGTCTGTGGGTCTGATTCTATTTTATAAATAGGTTCATTTGTATCATTTTTCTTTAGATTCCACATAAAAGTGATATTACATGATATTTGTCTTTCTCTGTCTGACTTAATTCACTTAGTATGATCATCGCTAGTTGCTGCAAATGACATCATTTCATTCTTTTTTATGGCCGAGTAATATTTCATTATTTATATATAATGGATATTAAAAATATATGTATTTTTATATATACCACATTTTCTTTTTCCATTCATCTGTTCACGGACACTTAGGTTGCTTCCATGTCTTGGCTACTGTAAATAGTGCTGCTATGAACATTGGGGTACATGTATCTTTTTAAATTAGAGTTTCCTCCAGGTATGTGCCCAGGAGTGGGATTGCTGGATCATATGGTAACTAGCTCTATTTTTCGTTTTTTAAGCAACCTCCATGCTGTTTTCCATAGTGGCTGCACCAATTTACATTCTCACCAACAGTGTAGGAGTGTTCCCTTTTCTCCATGCCCTCTCCAGTGTTTATTATTTGTAGACTTTTTGATGATAGCCATTCTGACTGGTGTGAGGTGGTACCTCATTGTAGTTTTGATTTGCATTTCTCTAATAATTAGCAATGGTAAACATCTTTTCATGTGCCTGTTGGCCATCTGGATGTCTTCTTTGGAAAAATGTCTCTTTAGGTCTTCTGCCCATTTTTCAGTTGGGGTGTTTGTTTTTTGTTTTTGTTTTTTGTTTTTTTATCTTAAGCTATGTGAGCTGTTTGTGGGCTGTGTTTTTTGAAATATCCTTCCATAGCCATTGGAGAAAGAATGGGAGGAATGCAAAGATGTGGAGGGACCCAGGTAGAAGGATTTTGCAGCATCTAGGTGAGAGATGATTGTGGTTTGAACCAGAGCAGCGTGTAGAGATATCCCATCTGGACAACGGGAGATGTGCTGGGAGGGCAACTCGATAGGACCTTCCCATGGATCGGATGCAGTTGTTGAGGGAGAAGGACTTCACATTTCTGACATAAGCGGTTGGGGACTGAAGGTGCCCTTTCTAGAGACAAGGAATCTGAGGAAGAAATTGATCGTGGGAAACAGGGTTGAGTCAATGAGGATCCCAAGAGTGCGTGGCCAAAGGAAAGAAGTGCAGAGCCCAGAAGTGCAGGCATGTCACTTCCGTCTGGGAGGGTGATGTGTTTCCAGACCCTTGTCCTGGTTGTCCTGGCCTCAACTCGGGGTCTCAGAATGGTCCCAAGAAGAAAATGTTTTTTTCTCTCCCTCCACTGAATATGCCTACAGCGCATATTCGGATATTGGCAAGTCGGAGCAAAGTGGTTTTCAACTGACTTCTCTTATTTATCTTGCAGAATCATCCAGGAGTGTTGAATTTTCGAATACAACTGGAAAGCAAAGAACTGATCATAAATCTGGAAAGAAATGAGTAAGTCAAGTTAATTCCTGTTTATGTCATGATAGGAGAGAGTGAAGGCAGTGTGGACTGAAAAGTGCTCTGTAATTTACGTTGGCATTTAGAGACACAGATCTAAATGTGTGGATTCGTAATCCCAATTTGAATTTGAGGGCTGGAATTAACTTCAAAAAAATGATCCAATGGATATATAAAGAATTTTATCACTCTAAAAAAGAACTTTCAGGCTCAGCAGGTTTTTCTCATAATTCTGATGTTTCTTTTTTTCAGAGCCCAATTTTTTTCAAGGATAGAATTTTAGCATCCTCTGTTCTGTTCCAATAACAGTCTTTTATAATTAGTTGACTTTTCGGCAATTCCTGGGTTATATAAGGAGAAACAGCTTCAGATGGGTAGAAACTCTTTTTTTCCTTGAGAAATAGCAAGAGTTTATTTTATCTTTCAGAGCTTGTCTCCAGTGGTATAAAGTATTTATTTTATCTTTTTATTGAAAAATTTGGCCCTGTTATGCAAAATTATATAAATTTTCAGAAAATGGTATTATATTTTTTTCTGTGGCGCTTGGATGTTATTACATATTTTGTGTATGCTGTCCCAGGAGAAGAATGTGCCTGCTTCAAAGCCTAAGTAAGACAGCTCATATTCCTGTCATGTTTTTACCCTCTGTGGCTCTGCCCGTGGGTTCCTCAGACCGAAAGGACCACTTACTATTCCATTTGATTAGTCCCAGAAAAGAATCGAGCTTCCCTAAGAAGCAATCGTATTTAAAGATATAAATCAAGCTCCCAAGTCATGCTTGATTCAAAATAGGAGTTTCTCTCTTCCAAAATTACTGCGTCCTGTTCCTCACCCTTCAGTGAAATGCTGATTTTCTGCTGAGATGACAGTGTGGATAAGATTGCTTCCCTGGAATGAGTTCTGCAGAGATACCGAGTCATAAGCATCTGACTCAGCACCTCCGTGTAAACGAGTCAGATCTCTTACTTCCTTGTATCGGTGCTTGGATTTGAGGGTCCTGAGCAAATCGGATGAACGAGATCGTGAATGGCCAATTCTCACATCCAGGGTCTGACGCCACGGCCAACAGCAATTATATTATTTAAAACAATAGATACAATTTTAAATGCATCTGAATATGTATTAAAAAGTGAATGTGTTTTAAGTGAATATATGTAAAATAGCATGACCTGCGTCTTGGGCTCTGCAGCCTGCCTCTTTGCATTTCTTTCGTGTTTCCCCCTCACCATTAGATGGGTTAACAGCTTTCGTGAGCAGTCAATAATATGTTTTTAGCTTTTCTTGTGACTTCATGATCTTAAAATGGAGGTTCAGGCACAGATCGCGGATACCGAGGGCACTGGGTGGAAGGTGTATATTGCTTTTGATGTGTCTCTTAGCAAAGTAAATATTTTCCTGCTCTTTTTTTTTCATGTAGAAGTATGATAGGACATCTTAATTTTTGCACCCTGCTGTTTGTACATGGTTTTGAAAGTATCTCAGTGGATAAAACTAGGTATTCACTGAAAGAGCCAAAGAAGACAAGCTTCCTCGGTGGGATTTTAGGACTGGCAGCTGGACTTGGGAAGTGTTTTTATTGTGACTGTTCCTGCTGTCAGCCTGTTGGAGGAATGTGGCAAATGGTGTAAGTGAGACCGATCCTGTACCTTTAGATGCTGTTAGGGCTGCCGGTGGAGGGACGGAAGTGGACATAATAAAAACCTTATTTGTTTTCACTATAAAAGGAATACATGTCCAGTGCAGAAAATTGAAAACCAAAGGGGTAAGAAAAACAGGAGCTACCCCCACTGCCCCCCACCGCCAAAAAAAGTACCCCTACCACCAAACACAGCTCTGGTTAATATTTTGGTGAACATTCATATAGAGTTTTTTCTTATAAAAAAGGAGTTGCTTCTGTTGTCTTCCTAGTTTATATCGTGGTCTGTGTGTAATCTGATTTACTACTTTTTTCATTTACACTTTTAATGGACGTACTTTTTCATTAGGAAATGCACTGCTTAGAGTCCGTCTGGTTCTCTGAGTCGGTAAAGTGATTTGCCAGCCTTATTCATGGCTCCCTTTGAAAATGATTTAGGTGGATGGCATGGTGCACGTTGACTACAAGACAGCGGCTAATTTGTATAAGAGATCATTTTAAAGGGTGCCTTCATTTGCTCACCTCCGTTCCTGGGCCTTTCACAAAATAATCTCAGAACTAGAAAAGTGGAAAACATAAAACGACCTCTTTTTTATTTATTGCTCTCTTCCCAACTTTGCTGTCAACGTACATTTAGAAAAATATATGGAGATCATTTAATATGTTCCTGTGATATTTCATGGCTTTGTTTCAGTTCTGCTACTTACACTAACTGTGGCGATTTTGTTTTGTTAAAAATAAAAATTTCAAAACTAGAGCATGGCAATATTACTATTTTAATAATCCACCCCTCCAGATACTTCAGTATAACAAATTTTTTTAAAAGGTTACATGTGTTTTCCAGAAGAACTTCACTTTTGAGACAATAACAAAAAAAATGTACAATTTTATAGGTAGAATGAAATGTTTGCACCCTTCTGGCTCTTAAAGCTGTCAGGCACAGCAGGTAATCAACCGTCCCAGTATAAAATAGAATTTTTAACTTGCCCAGTATATCCAATTAGAGAATTTCTCCAAATGAAGCTATAAGAACCCAAAGACGGATGTGCGAACAAGCAAGGTAAATGCAAATATTTAACAACCAGCAGAGCAGAGAGCTTGACCAATCAGATAGTGACCTGGTCAGTATCCGCCTTCAGGTGGGAATCAGCCCTGTGTTCAAGGATGCTCACTGCAGGATGTTTTACCTAAAAGGATGTCAATAGGAGACTGATTAACTAATGCATGACTCAGGTATTAAAGGACTGCACGGTAGTACATCTAAAGACGATGATGGAGATCTTTGCAATGATGAGTAGCACGGATGGTATAATCCGTGTAAACGGCATGTCAGGTCATCGTTTACATGGCATTCAGTTTTTCTCTCAAAATTACACTCATGTCCACGTTTACTAGAAAAATTCAGAAGATATTTACTTTATTAATGTTTTGCAACCAGAAAATATTATTATTAAATTTAGGAAACTTTTTATTCTGGGAAAAAGCTGCTGCGAAAACTTGAAGATGGTTGAAAAGAATGTTGAAGCATTCATTATTCATAGAAAGGGAAGGGTGGATGTTAGAAAGGCCTCCGGAAACTTCCACAGGGCGAAAGCTCTCTACCCACTGACTACGTCCAGAAATCTATTTTCGTTAAAAACCTGCTTAATCGTGACCAAAATGGAAGTGGCCTCAGCGCCTTAAATCCTAAACGCCGTGATCTAAAGCTCATGGTGAAAGGCACGTAGGTCACCTTAGTCAGAAACCCTTCGTGTAAACCAGCTCTTCATGAAGCAGGGCTGAATTCGTGTTGTGTGGTTGTTTCGGGGAACCTGTCTTATTTGCCTTTTAGCATCTTTAATTTGTGCAAAGATCCGGTGCTGTTCACTTAAGTCTGTGTTTGTGTAGCCATAATTGAATGTTTAAAGCAGTTCAAAGCTTCCCACGAGAAGCGTTTTTCAGTGTTGCCGCCTGCCTGTGGACCTAACCGCAGGAACCAGCGTTACACCTTCCATAACTCTGCTGTGTCCCCACGGACTCCCAGGCCATTGCTCACACAGGTGCTCGATGCAACTGCGTCTTTGATCAAAATGCTTTATTGGACAGGCTGGCCAGCTTAGACATCCGTTCTTCCAGTTTAGGATAATGAAAACTGATGGCGACAGATCATACTCCCTGCAACATCTCAAATCCACCGAGCTTTCGCCTTCCAAGCCCTGTCCGTCACTGGTGGAGGCAGTTGCCGGGGGAAGTCCGTGGCCCCCTCGATTTGTATCTGGGGTGTCTCTGAGCTAGGAGAACTTTGGCACAGACTTTTCTGCCGTCTGGAAAAATTCCAGACATCTCTTAAGGGGCCACTTGAATGAATATTCACTCTAACACAGTTGCAGAAAGGAGCATTTTAAATTTGTCAAACATGGGCATCAATCTTTGAGCGGGCATTTATCAGACAATAGCTCAGAGTATCAGGATGCAGGATGGAGATTTTCAGCCAGGGCAGAGACAACACTGGGTGGATTAGCAGGTGGCTGAATAACTACGCAGAGGATATTCATCCATCGTTCAGGTTGAAGTAAACGGTGCTGGACCGGTGGACCGAGATAGCTGGCAGTGGTGGTAGAGCTGTGCACACAGCCTCATCCTGGCCCACAATTTTTTCAGCTCATCTCTATGAAGACATACAAGGTGCGTTGATCAGACTTCTTGGCAACACAAAGCTGGAGGGTGAAAACTGTTCGGCGTGGCAGAATCTGGATTATGGAGATTTTAGCAGTTTATATCAATGGGCCAAAACTAACAAGATGAGATTTAATGGGGATAAATGTAAAGTCCTATGCTTGGGTTAACAAAAAAATAAACCTTGTAAGTTCAGAAGGAAGTTGACCAGTAGTCCTTGTGATGAGACCTGCAAACCCAACGTGACCCCCTGAGGTGATGTGGTTGCTGGAAGATGGCTGCCACCCATGTGTGCTCAGGTGCCGGGGCTGGGTCCCGACTGGAGAGCTGTCCTGCTGTGTGGTGGCCCCGGTCAGGCCACACGCAGAGCCCTGACCTCTGCACTGTTTCAAGCATGATGTTTGAGAGCTGCCTACCACTGTTCTCATGGCACAGTTGGACTCTCATCACCTCTCCCACCAACCAGAAACGTCCTTTAGGTCAGGGGCAGGGTCCTAATGCCCCCCTCCACCCTCTTGCGCGTGCGCCGGCCTGTGGTGGGCACCTTCTGGCGCTCAAAGATGTACGTGATGGAACACGGACAGCCTGGACCCAGCCAGCAGTGACTCAGCAGGAGGTTAAAGGGCTGTCCTGGCTGGTGCGAGAAACTGCCCAGTCAAGGGGAAAACTTCTGGGAAAAACACAGGGTTTGGCCTCGAGAAAC